CATACCTAATAGTATATAACATTTTAAGTGGGATTTAGAAACTAACCCCAGAACGATACTTTTGGATGCACCGAGACAGCAGATCAAGAGGACACAGGTTAAGGGTTACAAAAGGCAATTTTAAGTATGTCAAGGCATCGAGAAGTAATGATCCCTCAAAAAATATATAATAATAATTTGGTCACTCAATCCACGCCTGTTTGTGGGATTGGCTGCCGCGTTTCGCCCACAAATATACAGTCAATTCACTTTACAGTATATTCTGTGAAGCGCTTTGGAAGGATTATTATTATCATTATCATTGAGTATGACTTTACTCAATGGATAAATAACGACTGGAAAATCTGACTAGGAAGGGTGGTTGAGGCCAAGATCCTAGGACTCATTTGAAAATAACAACTTGATGCTGTGATGGCAAGCCTGCACAGTAGGCATTCTGGAAGGGCGAGATCGAATTGGCCAAAGGAACTTCTTCATCTTGTGATCATTATTCAGTTTAATATCTCGGTTGGAATGCTGAGATCCAATGATTATCCTGTGAAATAACCAAATTCTGGTTAGCTCAGATGGCTGCACACTGCACTTTGGGTTCAAAGATACAGCGTTTGAAAACCGTTGGGTCCACATAGCCCTTCACCCTTTTAAGGACTAAAAAATGCATCATTGCTAAAAAAATACGTGTGGGCAAGTGCAGAAATGTCTGAAGTGAGACAAGCCTGGCACGGTTACATAGTCCTGTAGTGTTGATGGTTCGCCAATGAATAACACTCACGCGACCCTCTCAATTGGAGGTGCAGACATGCTCATAACTCTGCAAGACAAAGTTCTGTTGGGTAGGGAAGCCAATTCGGAGAAGCATCGAGCGGTGGAGCTACCAATTTCAAAGTAAAAGACTTTGAATTTTCAAGGATTGATGTTAGAACATACCACAACCTGTACATCTCAACACATCCATACAGATGCCAGACTTAAAACAGCCAGCAAAGTGCAGTCTACGATTCTTTCAATTTCTGTGCCTATTTAAACAAAGCACCTGATAAAAGCAAGTGGATTTGTGATTGCACAGATATAGGTATCTTAAGAGACCCAACAATTGAATGGTAAGAGTTATGGATCAGAAAGGCTTTAAGCTCTGCCTCCTTTTTTTTATATAAAACAATCCTCACATAATTTCTTCACTCAATTCCCTGCCACTAGGCACAGTGTTGTAGGTCAGTTATGATGATATACACATGTCCTGGCACAGCCATTACTTTGTTTGCAAATTTAAAGAGCATGGCGATGGCGAGAGAGATCCCTGGGTGAGAACTCTGCAGATCAGTGGTCACAGAAACCGCAACACCTCAAACAAGTTTCAGCCCAGACACTAAGAAGCGTTTCTTTACACGGAGGGTAATTAAAGGCTGAAAAGGGCCACCAGGATGGGTAGCTGAGACCAGAACGCTGGCCTGACCTGAGAGCCAGCTTGATGCTAGACGATGGGTTAGGTATTCTGGAAGGATGAGAACAAATGGGATGAAGGGAAGGAAGTTCTTCCCCCAAACCTCTTTTATGATCTTTTTGTGGAGTCCTGTATCGCAAGCGAGAGACATGAGTTCAATGCAGGGTGAAATGTTGGGTAAGTTTCCTGTTTACCGAGCAGTAAGTAGGAACCCGGTTGTCGATTGGCAGATCGCTTTTCTGGGGATAATAATTCCTTCAAAAACAATAATAGTTTGGTCACATGGCTGTTTGTAGGACGCTGCTGTGCGCAATTGGCTGCCGCGTTTCGCCCACAAATATAGAATCAATTCACGTTACAGTATATTCTGTGAAGCGCTTTGTAGACTTCTCGAAGACGTGATATAGCGCTATATCAAATGCAAGGATTATTATTATAATAATTATTATTATTTTGTGAGATCTCTTACCCCAGGCAGATGTTTAGATATCTACTTGGCTGGATGTTAGCAAAAGCCTTGCCTGCATTCAGAAAAGCTCACCAATGGTACAAGTCCGATTCAGACTCAAATCAGACTGTTCCTCATGCGACCCCAATTCACATCAACTTCACAATTCTATTGGATAATAAATCAGGGGTAGAGTGTGGGCTCACCACCCAGCGCACTGTTGCCCAACTTGGGAGAGGCACCGCATGATGGAAAACAGATCTAGGGTTTATTTTGGCCACAAATTACATGACAAATCAGTGTCACGAAACCTGCTGTCCACAACGGCTTTTGAAGAGGATGAAGAATGGCTCTGGGATTCAGCACAAGTCATTGACCCACATAGAAAGGGTGAATTCTCTTGAAACTTTGAAGACAACTTTATACGGCATTGTTTGGAATGCTCCTGACACAATATGTGTGCTGTTTCCTGAGCAACTTTGCTGCAAACGAGAATCTTCAAGTTTATCACTTCTGGCAGCAAGAGGAACAATAAGGGCCGGAGCCGTCAAGCCTCATCTTAGGCGTCTCGTTTCTTGTCAGTGTCAAGTGCCAATGTTGAAAGGTCTCCCTCCGAGATGAAAGTCCTTGCAGGGCTCACTGAAAGTGCGCTACAGAACGAATTCATCGCAAGACGTTCAATTGATGAAAAATAAAAGGGCACACTGACATTCCGCGAGCTGTTGGCAGATGCTGGTTGATCAATGGTCGTTTCATCCTTTTGTTTTTAATGGAAAGCAATGACAAATCTCGCGGGCGTGACAAATGGCTAAAAATAAAAGCCGGAAACCCTCATTTTACCTCATGCAAGTTCACCTCAGGGCTTTTTGCGAATCGTCTCATAGGGTACAGTCTTTTATATTCCAAATGATTCAACGAATATCGAATAACTATTATTCACCACAGTTGGCTATCAGGCCTTCAGCTTTTCTGCACACGCCCTCTAGAATTACATTGCAGACTCCTTCTGCCCTGCCCTCGACCAATTTTGTTGTTGTTGTTGGGACATCCTTCCGATTTGAAAGGCTCTATGTCAATGTAATTTGCTGTTGTTGCGACGACACTGGTCAGGGTTTGTATGGATTGTATGGAAATGCAGGTGGGAGTAGTTTGATGGATTAAAAGACTCACATAAGAGATATATACTGCACAATGTTATCTGCGTGTGTCAGCCTGGCTCAGTTGGCAGCACTCTCGTCACCAAGACAGAAGGTTGTGGGTTCAAGCCTCATCTTGGGACTTTTAACTCAGGTAGTCTGGGCTGACACTCCAATGCTGGGGTGTGCTGCAATGTTGAGGTGCCGTCCATCAGATTAGACGTTAAATCATTGTTAAACTGTTCAGGTGGGGGTTAACAACCCCGCAGCTTGTAGAGATTAATAATCTCTGCATTTGATGTAGCGGCTTATCACGTCTTCAAGACGTCTCAAAGCGCTTCGCAGACTACACTGTAAAGTGAACAGACTGTATATTTTGTGGGCGAAACGCGGCAGCCAATTGCGCAAAGCAGCGTCCCCACAAACAGTCGTGGGCTGAAGTGACTAATTTGAGATCAGGGAGTTTCTCTCAGTCAGTTTCCTGGCCACCAATCCCCCAAATAAAATTGGTGGGACCTTGCAGTGCGCAAATTAGGTGCTGCACTTGTCTACAAGACACAGTCACTAAGCATTACATTAAATGCTGCGAAGCACTTTGAGACATCCTCCCTCCCAAGGCTTTCCCTATTGTGTAACAGCACCAATGCACTAAATAAGCCTGTCAACTGGTCGGGGATCTTTATGGGCAGCCAAAGGTTTCCACAGGATCTCATACATTCTGTGGAATTTACGGTGTCTCCAGTGGCCAAGAGATGTCATGAAATGTTCTTAAAAATTACTTGTCTCTGGGTCCAGCGTTTTACTGCAGTTTTCCATGGGCACCATTCACCCTCTGATACAACACTCAATGGCCATTATTCCTGTGCAAGTCTTGACAGTACAGACCGGAAGGTTGGCGAGCTGCAGAGGGACATCACTCCTAAGCTCAGCCTTGTCCTCACCTGATGCCCACGCGCCAATTGCCCAGACGCTGCGATGTTTTAAATGGAATTACACCTCAAAGTCACGGCCGTGGGCACTGGATTGCAGGATAACAGGAGAGCCTCTTCTAACTCCTCTATCTTGCGGTGCTTCCCGGGCAAGTCTGCAATATATAAACTTCGGGAAACACTTAGTGGCTTCAGAAGCACCGGCAACGGCTTCCCGAGGTGAGGCTTCATCCAGCCTTTGCGCACAGCAGCAACCAGGAGTCCTCCTCACCCTCGCCTGCAGCTTTCGCTCCCAGACGCTAACCCGCGTTTAATGTCGCTAGATAAATGCAAGTTGTTGGTGTTGTTGTTTCTGTTGGCCAGCATGTCTGGAGTGTCCGTGGCCAGAAGATTAAACAATGTGCTGTCGGAACTGAATGCCCAACCATGTGCACTTACCTGTCTGTGTGTTTGCACACGGATGTGCTTACATGTCTGTGAGTTTGCACACGGATGTGCTTACGCGTCTGTGTGTTTGCACACGGATGTGCTTACGCGTCTGTGAGTTTGCACACGGATGTGCTTACACGTCTGTGAGTTTGCACACGGATGTGCTTACGCTTCTGTGTTTGCACACGGATGTGCTTACACGTGTGCAAGTTTCACACACGTGAGTTTACACATTCTTGAACTTCTCCTAAAAAGAAATGCCGCTCTCTCCTCCCACCCCTCCTCCCCACCCCCCCAACCCTCCCCCCCCCCACACCCACTGCCCCAACTTGACACAAGATCACATCTAACACTGAACCATTATGCCACTTTGGGCATTAGTCAAATTGAATAAGATACAACCTGACAGAACACCCTTCAAACTAGATTCAAAGCTAACATTAGAACGACTGGAGGGCTGAGAATTTGACCGTTTATTCAGTCAGTGAAAGGGTTAAAAACGATATCAATCCAAGCACACACTGGAAATAAACTTCAAACGCAGGGCCATCCACTCTCCCTCCCTCCCTCCCACACCACCCCCAGACCACTCAGCACAGCACAGAAACAACACTCACCTGTATGCCTGGATACCTGGGTTAGCGATCATAATGGACTCCAGGTGAAACCGCCCGTCACCGAGGTAACTGTAAGGAGAAAAGAACGCACGTGTTGGATTAGTGCTGACGTGTGCCTCGCATTCCCTGCTCAGACACGCACATTAATCACCCCCGCTGTGGCCAGGTACGCACTGTGCTCGGAAACCACGTCAGTCCTGCAAACGTCACCCAACAGGCAACGAGCAGAGACTTCACCGTAAACCAACAGAATGGAGAATGGTCACATCTGCAGATCAATGGACACACGAGAGTGGTTTAATATCTGTATCACTGGCTCCCCTGATGGTTGGGTGAGTATTTGCCCTGCAAATAAAAATTTTGTTTTCTTAATTTAGTGTACCTCACTTGCGGTAGCCATTCCGACAGGCAATGTGTGTGTGTGTGTGTGCATATATACACCTGCCTGCTGAGTATATTTGCACCTGTGTGTATTTGTGAGTTTATGTGTGTAGGACCACAGTTAGAATATTGTGCAAGGCAGCGGGATTGAGGGAGAGCGTTGCAGAGTTTCGGGGCATGGTGGCTGAAAGCCCGGCCTCCAATGGTGGAACGGAGGGACACGAGGGACAAGTCGAGCGGAAGCAATGGGTAGTGGAGTGGGGAGAAAGCAATACTGAGGAACAAGAACTGGAAATTCCTGGAAAGAAGCTTTACATTTACCATGTGTACAGCAGATGCTTACGAGTGTTGGCACCAAGAAGAAATGCACATTAAGGGGTCCTGTAGCTCAGTGGTTAGAGCACTCGCTTTGCAAGCGAGAGACCTGAGTTCAATTCCCGGCAGAGGGCGAAACCTTGGGCAAGTTTCCTTACTCCACACAGAGCCTAATAATAATCCCTCCAAAACCAACAACAATAATAAATTGGTCATTTTCAATCTACGACTGTTTGTGGGACATTGCTGTGCGCAATTGGCTGCCGTGTTCGTCCACAAAGTGTGTTCTGTGAAGCGCTTTGGGACGTCCTCCCGACGTGAAAAGCGCTATATCAAATGCAAGGAATATTATTATTATTATTATTAACACACAAGCTCAGTTATGGACCTCTTTCCAGTCTGGCTGTGGGCCAATTTGGTTACATATGTATTTCTCCGTCAGGGGTCCTGGCTGCCACTACCTTCAGCTGAGATACCAGGAGAGTTTGCCAGACATTAGCAGAACCTGATGTTGATTGTGCCTCTCCGTTCTCCTGTAAGAGTTCTGCCCCTTATTGCAACGTGATTCTTTTTGCACTCCAGCCTGTGGATGAGAAGGTCAGGCTAATCTAAAGGGTGGGTGACCTTGGCCACTGTCAGGGTTGTGGCTGGTTGATGCTTTATAATAATAATAATAATACTACTACTAATAATCCTTAATCCTAATCCTTGCATTTGATATAGCGCTTTTCACGTCTTCTCGACGTCTCAAAGCGCTTCACAGAATATACTGTAAAGTGAATTGACTGTATGTTTTGCGGCCGAAACGCAGCAGCCAATTGTGCACAGCAGCGTCCCACAAACAGTCGTGGATTGAAGTGACCGTTTTTTTTTTTGAAGGTATTACCCCCAGAAAAGCGATCCGCCAATCGACTAACAACCGTGTTTTTACTTACTGCTGGTAAACAGAGGCGTGTGGAGTAAGCAAATTTGCCCAACGTTTCGCCCCGTCGGGAATCGAACCCAGGTCCTCTTGCTTGCGAGGCGAGTGCTCTAACCACTGAGCTACAGGACTCCACACTTTTAGTGAAAGAAGGGCTGCTGCAAACTCTCATGAAACTGCCCCTGGAAGGTGGAGGTAGTGGGAGCCAAAGAGAAGCATTGTGGCCATGCAGTGCTCAATATCAAGAACAACAACAACTTGCATTTATACGCCTTTCACGAGGGGTGGCGTCCTGGAGCGCTTAACAGTGGCAGAATTTGACCCCGAGCAAGGGGCGGGGGGGAGGAGGTGACTGTAAGCATGATCAAAAATGAAAGTCTTCAGGTGGGATCTGATAGTGGGGAGGGAGGGGGTGAGGTGGAGGGATTGAGGGAGAGAGTTCCAGAGCTTAGGGGCGTAGTGACTGAAAGCGTGGCCGGGGATGGTGGAGCGGAGGGGGCGAGGGACAAACAGGAGGTCGGAGCCAGCTGAGCGGAGGCAGCGGGTGTTGGAGTGGGGGGTGCAAGCAGATCGGGAAGAAGCCCGCAGAGCGCATTTTGAGAAAATATGGGAAGCACGAGGACCTTCAATTCACTCTGGAGTTGGGTACTCTCCAAGCAGAGTGGCATCTTGATAAAGCCTATATAAATGCAAGTATTATTATTGTTATTATTATTATTATAATAAAACATCAACCAGCAAGTGGCGGCAGATGTGTTATTCGGAGCAGGTGGAAAAAAAGAGCCACAGACCACACGTAGGAGCAAAGCACAAGACAAAATAAAATATGAAGGATGGGGGGGGGGAAGGAACACAACTTGTTCCTCGGTAGTTTTGGCAGCTGCTTTCTCCCAGCCAATAGACTGACAAAAGCTCATCCAACCGAGTCGGAAAGCAATCCGGTGATGGACAGCCTTGAACCTTCTGCTAGGACATCCTGGGCTTCCATTGCTCAGAGCTTTGCGCAGGACGTGGCCCAGGTGTCACTCATTTCGGAGTTAAAAAAACCAACCCTCCAGCAAAAAAAAAAAATGTCTTTGTGAATATAAAGAAAAACGATCTCTTTCAACTTGGGTATGTTACCCTCAGTCGGAGATTGTACTCCGAGCACATTTATTACATTTACATTAAGATCTGAGTGACAAGCCCCGTCACTATCGGGGTGAAATACCTGTTATTACACACATTTAAATTGTCACATTTTACTTCTGCTGTAAAATTAAAGATTCCAAATGATATCCTAACGCTGGGGAAATTGCACATTCGAGCAGCCACAGTTTCACCTTTTATTACCGGCTACGTTTCAATATTTCAGCGAACATATAAAAAAATGTTTTAAAAAAATTATATATTGAGTGGGGGGAGGGGAGAGTGGTGGGGGTGGAGGCGAGCGAGAGAAATTGGTAGTTAATGATAAATATAGTGTACTTGAACCAGCCGAGGCAATGGTGCAATGTAATCTTCCATATAAATATTGTATTCAGTCATGTGCATACATTATACATATATCTATATATCTATATATCTATATTTAAGAGCTTTTGAGATGTCCTACCAACGTGAAAGGCACAACTATATAAATGTAAATTGTATTGTATTAAGGATTGCAGGTAATTAATATTCAATGCACATTGAATATGGGGCTCGTGAAACTAAGAGATATATTTCTGAGGAGAACCTCCAACTAGTAAGTGAAAGATAGCAGTATGTCCTCTGATAGAAATTCCAGCTCGTCTTAGCCTGTAGGAAGGTTTTGTCCTTAAAATTTAAGATTGTGCAGGATTGTGGCAGAGGTGATGGGTGAAAATATTCTTTACGGGGGGCAGTAAAACACAATTAAAGGGTCAGTCCACTTCAAGACAACAACGTGCATTTATGGCGTGCCAGATGGCGTCTTGGAGTGCTGCTGGCTTGACTGACAGGTTCATCGAGGTGAGGACATCCAGACGAGTAACCTGTAGAACCAGACGGACACGCCAACATGTTGGGAGAGGGGCAAGAAGGGCCGGTGGGTTTGGGGCTGCTCAGAGGACTGGCTGTGGTCCTCCTCGGGGCTCAGGGATTTCCCCTCCCAGCTCCCCTTAAAGAGGTGACTGTAATACTAATAATCCTTGCATTTGATATAGCGCCTTATTATGTCTTCTAGACGTCTCAAAGCGCTTCACTGAATATACTGTAAAGTGTAGTGACTATATATTTTGAGGGCGAAAGAATTGGGGAGGGGTGGGGGGCTGTCGATACAATTGGGGAGGGGGGCTGAGCCCCCTCTGTTCCTAGACACCAGCCATCTGTGATTGCACAGAAAATTCTTGAAACTCGGCCTTCATTTGGAGGAGTTTTTGCTGCAGCCTCTGACGTTACGCACCAAGAACTATAACTTCACCGGATAATTGGGAAGGTCTATCCTTTTACTCGACAAAAAAAAAGACTTTCATTTCCAATTCTAGGACTTGCTGAGTAAAGGTTTTCATGAAGGTTAAAAGGGGATGTGGAAGATATGTTGTACTCCCAGGGTTTACAGCCTCAGGCTGCCAAGGTTGAGCCAAGACTCTCAATGTGTTCCAAGACTGAGGTACAAGCCATTACGTACAAGACAGGAATTTGTCTTCCGGGTCCACAAACTGACTTCAGATCGATTTGGATTGCAATACAATACAAAATTACATTGGTTTAGCGCCTTTCACGTCAGGAGGACATCCCAAGCTGCTAGACAGTCAGGGATTTGGATAATAATAATCCTTGCTCTATCTTGATGATATAGCGCTTCTTCGGGATGTCTCAAAGAGCTTCACAGGATATACCACCAAAAAGTATAGTGACTATGCATTTGTAGGACTACCACTCTTTTCGGACACAGGTTATGACTTCTTTCCCTCCAAAACGCCACCTCTGCACAGGTCTGCATTAGGCAAGGATGCAGTTTCACAGTCGCTGTCGTCCAGCTATTATTGTTATCTTTGGAAAGCTGCCCAGGAATAAGATTTTTTAAAGCCTGATGAAAAACAACCCCTATATCAACATGACAGATTCCAGCAAAAATGTTGTTTCAGTACTAAACCCCCTGAAAGGCCTGGTCTTGACAATTAGACTGGAAACAGCTTTTATTGATTGTCTACTGTACATGCTGAGGTTTCCTCTGCTCCTAAGCAGCCAGTTGTTATTAATTGCTAATGTGCCAGTATCTGGTTCACGGCCCAGAGCAGTCAAACTGGAGAAAAAGTTGGTGAAGAATTTATGCTGTGCCCTGGGTCGTTTTAGCAGGCTGTCAGTGTCAGCCTGGCTCAGTGATATACATAATATAATCCTATGATACAGTAATAATCCTCGCATTTGATATAGCGCCTGATCACGTCTTTGAGACGTCTCAAAGCGCTTCACAGGATATACTGTAACGTGAATTGACTGTATATTT